AAAGAAATCAACCCTGACTGTTCCCTGGAAGGTCAGATAATGAAACTGAAGCTAAAATACTTTGGCCACCAAATGAGAAGGGAGCACTCACTGGAGAAGACCCTGATGCTGGGAAAGATTGAAGGTCAAAGAAGACGGGGACGGCAAAGGATGAGATGGTTAGACAGTGTCATCGATGCAACGAACATGAAGTTGAGCCAACTTCAGAGGACGGCAGAAGACCGGAAGGCCTGGAGAGAGCTCGTCCATGGGGTCGCGAAGAGTCGGACTCGACTGTGCGACTGAACAACAACAAAAGTGGCCGTGGACTCGGTTCTGAGCAGAACACGACACCTGGTGCAGGAGGCCGGGGTTGTTGCCCAAGTTGGAGACATTGACCACAGTGCTATTCACAATGCAATGTTAAGATCACTTTTGTGCAAGGAAGTCCCACGGAATAGACCTGAGCAGGATTCTAAGTAAGCTGGTAAGTGTGGGCTGGATGGTGCAACCGTTGGATGGATTCATGGTTGGTTGAAAAATCGTACCCAACGAGTGCTCATCAATGGCTCTGTGTCTACGTGGAGGGAAGTCTCGAGTGGAGTGCCGCAGGGCGGGCTCGATCCTAGGCCTGGTGTTGTTCAATGTTTTTATAAATGACCTGGAGGAAGACATAGAGGGGATGCTTATCAGATTTGCAGATGACACGAAGCTGGGTGGGATTGCTAATTCTGAAGAAGACAGAGTCAGGATTCAAAATGATCTAGACAGGCTGGAACAGTGGGCGGAGACAAATAAAATGAATTTCAACAGAGAGAAGTGCAAAGTCCTACACTTAGGTACAAAAAATCAAAGGCACAGATATAGAATGGGAGGGACTTGGCTTGACAGCAGCACATGTGAAAGGGATCTGGGTGTTCTGGTTGATCACAAGCTAAACATGAGGCTGCAGTGCGATGTGGCTGTGAAGAAAGCTAATGCAGTCTTAGGATGCATTAACAGAAGCATTGTGTCCAGATCACGGGAGGTGGTCGTTCCGCTCTATTCTGCTCACCTGGAGTCCTGTGTCCGGTTTTGGGCACCACATTTGAGGAAGGATGTTGACAAGCTTGAGCGAGTCCAGAAGAGGGTAACAAGGATGGTGAGAGGGTTGGAATCCAAGTCTTATGAGGAAAGGCTGAAAGAGTTGGGTCTGTTTAGCCTGGGAAAGAGAAGGCTTAGAGGGGACATGATTGCAGTCTTCAAGTATTTGAGGGGATGTCATGTAGAAGATGGAGCGGATCTATTCTCTCTTGCTCCAGATTGCAAGACTAGATCTAATGGGTGGGAATTACAAGGGAGTCAATACCGGCTAAATATCAGGAGAAACTTCCTAACTGTCAGAGTGGTTGACCAGTGGAACAGTCTGCCTCAGGAGGTGGTGGAGGCTCCTTCGCTGGATGTTTTCAAGCGGAGGCTGGACGACCCTCTTTCGGGGATGTTGTAGGGCTCTCTTTTGGCTCTGCTCCTGCAGAGTGCCAGGGGTTGGACTAGATGACCTGCAAGGTCCCTTCCGACTCTAACATTCTGTGATTCTATGATTCTAGATCTGCTTAGGATTGCTTTCTAGCTTTCATATCAATGGAAAGTTGCCCCCAAGCTCCAAAACAATTATTTTGAAAGAGGGAACAAAAATTGAGCAGACTAGTCAGAAGGAAGTTAAAAGGGGGAATTAAGAGAGTCATATCCCTGCAGGGTGCCTGGAAATGGTTCAAAACCAGCTAGAATGAGTAAATTAAGCCATGAAAGGTACTATTTATTTATTGATTGATTGATTTGATTTGATTTCTACCCCACCCTCCCCGCCGAGGCAGGCTCAGGTACCGCCCTGTCTGCCTGGTTAATGACCAAAGTGAAGGAAGCTTCGTTTTAAGAATGGGAGGCTTGCCTTGCCTGAATAAGGGGAGCAGAAGGGAGCAGGCTCAGGTTCCGGGAGACAAAAGCAAAGAGACGGTGAGGAGAGAAGGGGGGGGAGCAGTTTGAGGAACAGCCGCTACAGGCAGGCTTTGAACGTGAGATCCCAGCAGGGTTCTTGCCGGCTCCCGGTTGGGAGACTCCCGTAGAGTTGGGGGCGGAGCCTGGGGAGGGCAGGGGCCCCTGTGGGGCCAGAAGGGAGCCCTCCCTCAAAGGCATCCGTTTACTCCAGGGAGGGAGCTGGTCTCTGTCCTCCGGAGATGGACCGTCATTCCAGGGGGTCCCCCAGGCCCCACCTGGAGGCCGGCCTCCCTAGACCCCAGGCTTGTCGCCTGTGCTGTTCCGCAGAGGGCTGGTTTTATCTCCAGGGCCACCGGAAGATGCCAAGTGCTTCACGGCGGGTCCTTTTGCCTGTCTGTACTGGGGAAAGTCTGACTGGAGGATGCTTTGCAGTACGTGTCGTGCACCTGCTTCTAGTCCTCTCTCCTCCCATTTTGCTGCTGACTGAGAAGGAGCCTTGTTTTACCTGCACCTGCCTTCCTCGTGGCCCATGAACTCTTACCCGCATTTCCTACCTGAGTGTGTTCTTTTTCCCAATGAGCCCAATGGGGTGTGGGGGTGATGAACGTGCCTCCTCACTTGCTCTTCTCCCCTGCAAGAGCTCATTCCCTTCATAGGAGCCCCGTTCCCCGGCAGGGCTTGGCTGCATGATGTGTCTGGGGTGGACTGGACATCTTTGTGCTTGTTCTCTCTGAAGGGAGCCATGGAGGTGGGTTGGTGATGGCGTGTCAATGCCTGGCCTCCTCCCTGTGGAAAATGTAGCTTTTGCAGTGCAATGAGATTTAAACCCCACCCAATGGCTTGCTCATGACAGGACCCTACATCTTTTGAGCTGTGACTGTTCCGTGTGGTGGGGTGGGGTAACATCAAGGACACACGGGTTCCCTCCAAGCATGATGAATGTGGGGGGTGGCCAGCCTAGTGCACCATGTTTGATGGCTGTCAGGGGTATTGTCACGGAGTGTGGTGGTATAACTATTCTCTCTTGCTTACAATGTTATTCTACATAGTCAAAATACTTGGGGTGGCCAGATGCTGCATAAGACATAACTGTCAGGCTCAGTATGCATTTTATGGTTCGCCTGTCATAGAGGAAGGAGGAGGGAGAGAGGGGTGTGAAACCAAATGCTTCGTTTTCCCTAAAGGCTTTGATGTGTCGCAGAGACCGGTTGTTTTGCTTTGTTTCTGTAGAGGGGGGGGGGTAGCTGACCCTTGTTTCTGGTGGGCAAATGCCGTGGGGTGATGGGGTCCTGATCTTTAGTGCCTTTACACATTCAACCTCAGTCCTAACAATAGCTCCTATCCAGCATGGTATCTATCAAAGTCTCAATAAAGTTAGCTTTCTAGAAGTGACTGGTGTTGAGAACTGATTTAACCAGGATCCTGACAATAACTTCTGCCTAAAATAGCCTGCTCTTCTCTTAGCCGACTTGTCGGAATTAGCTTGTAGCCTTTTCCTGCACTGGTTACAGCCAGAAACTATTTACTGACTGGATGTGCAAAGACGGAAGAAAAGCTGGTACCATCACCAAGATGGAGTACTGGGGGAGGAATATGAGCCAACAAGGAAGCAGTTTGGCAACAAGAACCGTATTCATTTTTGCTCCCAGGATATCAGCTGCCCTGCACCAAAGTTGTACTGGAGTAAGCCGCCACGGGTGTAGCCAGGGACGTTTGGGTGTGATCACACGAGCCGTTTGGCCTGACACAGCCACCCCTCCCCTCCAGATCAAATGGGTGCCGTCACACAGCCACACCTGTCAGGCATTCCCCAGGCATACTCAGCTCATTGTAGGGTGACTTGGAGCCAGGTTAAAAAGGCACCTCATCACAAGTGGTGTTTTTGGTTCACCCTGCATTCATCGAGCGTGACTGGATGTATGAACGCAGGGGAGTGCATACAAAACGGTCTGAACCTGGAGATCCATTTCTGCCGCTGGGGTGTTTTGGTTTTTTTGGCCTATGTGTGCATGAGCCCATATGCACCCATCTGTATTTTAAAAACAACAACAACTGGCCAGCATGCTCCATGGCTGAGGTGCAGCAATAATGTGGATGTTTGACCAGGGGACAGCCGAGTGGCTAACCCACAGCAGGGTGCTGTCTGGACAATATGCCCTGCAACATTTTAAACTGGTACAATTAGAGGTGGTGCCATATTGCGCCAAGCCACCAATGTGATCACACCCTTTGATTACTCTGTCAGTATCCTGTGTGCTTCGAAGGCAAATAATAATAATGACCATATGATTCCTGCATTAGTAAAATCCCCGTGTCCTACAAGAGCGAGGCTCACGTCCAGTTGGTCTTCCTCTGCGGACCAGCCAGGCTGCCCCCCCCCACAACCTCTCTCCATGAGACATTGTGCAAGCATTCCTTACACACTCATACAAAATCATGTAAATATTGATTTAAAAACGTCTCATGTTTTTAAAAAAAAGATTAGGAAAGGTTCATGGAGGACAGGTTTATCAACAAGTACTAGATGTGATAATTCACTGGAGCTTCCATGCTCAGAAGCAGAGTATCGCTGGACATCAGATGCTGGGGCCCAATGACAAGTGAAAAGTAGTTGTTTTCATCACTGCTTGTACACAGTCAGAGATATCAGGCTGGTCACTGTGGGAGGCAGTATTGGGTACACAGTAAAAACTAGAAATGTCAACTGATTAAAGATCCACATGTTTTAGTTGGTTCACCATCTGCCTTCTGAGCAAATCTATTTTTGCCTTACCAACACTTTATTACCTGTTTTTCTTTCCAAACACTGAGGAATGTAAGATAACTTACAATTCAATTTCTTATCAATAAAGGGAAAACGTTAAATATCTTTAATATTTTCTCTTGAACCCAAGACTATAGAAATCTACCAGAATCAAAATGTGTCTTTAGAAGTGTGCTTTCACCTTGCAGTCCCACAAAATTAAAAATTGGCCCTCTAAATTAAAGACGAATCTGCCATTTTAATTGGCTGAGGCATGCACTAAAGAAAACGTTGGGTTTCCTAGGCTGGCTGCCCAAATCTTGTGGCGAATCGAGAGAGAAGGAGGAGGGCTGACAGAGGGCAGTTTGGTCTCCATAGATGAGCTGCAGAACCACGTGGAGCATTTTGGCGACGAGGAGAAGAAGGAGCTGCGGGTCGACCTGGAGAGCTTCCTGGAGTTCTGGCCACCCAACAGCAAGCAGTTCGGCATGCAGTACATTTCTCACATCCTGGGTGTGGTACGTTTGCCTGGGGACCCATTGGCCGGGGGACGTTCCTGGGAGGAAGGGCCCCGGAATAGGCACACCTTCTTTTTAGTCCTGTAAAGGTCAAACTGTTTCTTTTTATACTGGAGGAACAGCCACCTCTATGCTGGTGGCCTAACCAGATGGATGAGGCACTTCTGTGTGGCCTGCACACGGGGAAGGGGAGGGGGTCATTAGGCCCTGAAAGAGTCCTTTCGGGCCACCTCCATGCAGACGCTCCAAGTTCATTCAGGGCGTGAGATGGAGCCGTGTGGGCCATGCACTTTTTGCAATGGGGCCAGGCTGTGTCAGTTCATTTGTTTGAAATATTCCAGCATCAAGAGCAGAGCGGGCCAAACAGTTGTGGCCTGAGAGCCACGGTCAGAGGACAAAATACTGCTGCTGACACCCCCCCCCCCAGCCTTAGCAATTTTTAATTAAGTAGCAATAGAAAACTTGACCTCCAATCTAACTGTTAAGGAGGTGAAAAATCATTTTCAGAAATTGTTGCAGACAGTCCACACTTTACTGTTGTACTTATTTTGGGACTTTGCAAGTCAGAGACTTTACTTACTCAAAGACTTTGTTACAGAATTGCTTTTGACAGATGAGGAAGGTTGACTTATTCCCCAAAATAAGATTGTTCAGGAAAAGGAATGGCCTCCCCTGAGAATGCCAAAGCTGGACACCCCTGATCCAGAGACCCCTTTCCCTGTAATTGCTTTTGCACTTGTATTTTGTGGAGCAGATAAACTGCAACGGGTTCACCCTGAGTGACCAGAGGGGTCTGCAGGCGGTGGGCGTTGGCATCTTCCCCAACCTCTGCATGGTCAATCACGACTGCTGGCCCAACTGTTCTGTCATCTTCAATAACGGCAAGTAAGTCAATCCCTTCGCTGCACTGATATGTCTAAGTAACATTATGAGATATGGGATGCAAATCAAGCGTTGTTGTTTTTTTTGGGGGGGGGGATTTAATCACTCTGAGCCGTGTCTGCTGGTGCCTGTTTTGGAGCTGCAGGGGAATAAACATTCACAGGAGGACATGCGTTAGAGTGGAGACCTCTGCCTTTGGCGGGAAGACCTCTGCTGGTTTCTGGGGTTTGAAGAAAAGAGCCTGTTTTCTAATTCCTGGGGAAGGGGGGAACATTCTCAAAAACACGATCCGTAGGGGTGGGTGGGGGAACATTCTGAAGGACTGCAAAGGCATCCACAGGGGCGGGGGTGGGGGTTCTACTGTGCCAGCCCCACTGTGCCAGCCCCACGGGCGTTGCCTGAGGGCACTTCTTGAGCGTTTCCTGCTCATCTCCGTGGGACTCCACAGGAGAACCTCCCAGTGGATTGTGCCCATAGTGGGTCATGTGGTATCAACCATCTGCAACAGACACTTCACTCTTCGTTTATGACTTGAATCACAAGGCAATCCTACAAAACACTTTCCTGGGAGTGAGCCCCATTCTGAATAGATTGGATTTCTTTGTTGAGGCACCTCAGGCACTGTTGGAAGAGTAATTAAAACAGCAATGATGCACAGTCTGATTAAAGAGCAGATAAAGTTTTATTTAGGAACTAACATACTTGATAGAAAAGAGGAGATAGATTTCAGGTGGGTAGCTGTCTTGGTCTGAAGCAGGAGAAGAAAGTCCGGGCCCTTCAAGGTGCCACTGGACAGAAAGGGGAGACAGAGATAGGTTCCTAACTACAGCTCTAGCTGAGGGAGGGGGGAGACTGAAGAATAACCTCTGAGGAGGAGGAGGAAATAATTGCCCTAAAAGTAGCGATCCGGATACAGACAAGGAATGGCCCTTGACAGGAGAGAGAAGGTGATGCCCTCCCTATCTTATCTGATTATCTTCTTGCTGCCCCCTTCAGAGTTTTCTTCTCTTCTTCTTTGTACACCAGACACTGCCTTTTCCAACAGGCACCACCTTCTAGTCCCTTAGGACCGCTGTCTATCATCTGGAATGTTCATCTTTGCAAAACACAAAAGCTGGTCTCTTATTAAAAGAGAGCTGTAGAACCAGCATGGCCTTTCAAGGATTAGCTGCTAGGAATCCAACTGCACAGTCTAAATATACAAAGTCTAACTCCAAATACAAAAACCTAAAATAGGGAGCCAGACAGCAGATGAATGGCTGGAAAACAGACTCTGTAGAATGAAGAGGGAGAGGCATTCGCCAGTAGTCTGATTTCCAGCTTCTTTTTTAAAAGCATGTTTTGTTCTGTTAAAGAAATTCCACAGCAGATAGGCTGCAATCACACACACTAAACAATCCACTTTATTTATTTATTTATTCCGACTTCTATCCCGCCCTCCCCGCATAGCAGGCTCAGGGCAGGTTACATCAGATTTGATAAAAATACAATAGACAAAAATTAACACAATTAAAACAACAATAAAATACAGCCCCATCCTTTATCCGGTGCTTTGTTTTCATTAAAATTATGGCCTCACAGAGGCCATCTCTGGTGTGCAGTTCTGACCCGCTGGGGAGAGGCCCAGTAAGGAAGGAGGGACGTTGTCAGACTGACAGACGTCTGTTCCCCTAGTTAAAAGCCTGGCTAAAGAGCTCCATCTTGCAGGCCCTGTGGGACTGTAAGAGGTCCCGCAGGGCCCTGATCTCGTATGGGAGCTTCTTCCACCAGGTAGGGCCCAGGGCTGAAAAGCCCCGGCCCTAGTCGAGGCAAGACAAACATCCCTGGGGCCAGGGACCACAAGAAGACATTGATTGAGAGAACCGGAAGTGGACTAGCGATGGTGGTCACTCTCTCCGACCCGCGGAGGAGCGATTAGCACACCAGCGACATGGAGGGGTACCACCTCAAGTGGCACCTCCACGGAGCTCTCAGGAAGGCCTCCAAGCCAGAGGGCTTTTGAGGGTTAGCCTCTTCGACGGCTATTTGCCGAAGAATAGAGGCTTCCCTCCACCGTGACGGTCTAGTCGCTGAGTGGCCTTCGGGCACAAGGTAGTTAGACTGGGGCAAGTGCAAGAGATCGAATGGAATAACGATGATTGGGAGCGAGGTCTGATCGAAGACCAACAATGAACGTGAGTTCTGTCTGAGCGGACTTATTGATAAGCAAATCCCCCCCCCCCGTGGGAAAGCGGAGAGCAGGGAGGGACGCCTCCTATGCGCATAAAGAGACAAGCGAAGCGAAGGGGGAGAGGGGGGAAGCAAACAGCGATTTGTTTTGAAAGACTTATCTGAGTGCCTGCAGCGAAATGATGAGCCCTTCGAGCCTTTGCATAATGGCTTGAATGTGTAAACAAATTGGAAAAATGGCGGCGACACGAGGAAAGTTAAAACCAAAACCGGGTAGTCAGAGCCCGAGGCCAGAGGAAGGAACTGATGTCATGAAGCTGCTAGCGGATATGCTAAAGTCGGTGGTAGAGCAACTCGATGGTATTAACCAGCAGCTGACCTCGTTGAATCAAAACTTCGCTTTACAGCAGCGTCAGTTGGCAGAAACAGACAAGAAAGTGGAACAAGTAACAGAAAAAAATAGTAGAGATGGACACTGGTAATAAAAAGATGAAGAAAAGAGTGGGAGAAGTTGAAATAAGGCAAAACCTTCAAGAAAATCGCTTGTTACAGCTCCAAATGGAAAAGGCTAACATGATTCTTAGGTTCCAGGGGGTCCCTGAAACCGAAAAAGATTTGAAGGAGACTCTGGCCAAGACTATTGCTCCAGTTACAGGCTTATCAGCGGAAGAAATAGTAAAAGATATGGAGACTGTCTACAGGGCATACTCCAATTATATTTTTAAAAATA